CATAAAAAACATCATTTTTCAACCCCCATTTGACCCCCTGGGGCAAAATCAAAAATCCGAAACCTTACTCCACATCTACATGACCCCACCAACCACCTCCCAAAAGATGATTATGCTGCTGAGTAAAATGTAAGAGAAGTTCAGGGAAGACGGGGCTTTTTGCATAAAAACGTCATTTTTCGACCCCCATTTGACCCCACGGGGCAAAATCTAAATTCCAAAACCTTAATGCCCATCTACCAGACACCACCAACCATCTCCCAAAAGATGATTAGGCTACTGTGTAAAATGTAGAAGGAGTTCAGGGAAGACGGGGCTTTTTGCATAAAAAACATCATTTTTCGACCCCCATTTGACCCCCCGGGGCAAAATCAGAATTCCGAAACCTTACTGCACATCTACATGACACCACCAACCATCTCTCAAAAGATGATTAGGCTGCTGAGTAAAATGTAGAATGAGTTAAGGGAAGACGGGGCTTTTTGCATAAAAAACGTCATTTTTCGACCCCCATTTGATCCCCCGGGGCAAAATCAAAATTCCGAAACCTTACTGCACATCTACATGACACCACCAACCATCTCCCAAAAGATGATTAGGCTGCTGAGTAAAATGTAGAAGGAGTTCAGGGAAGACGGGGCTTTTTGCATAAAAAACGTCATTTTTCGACCCCATTTGATCCCCCGGGGCAAAATCAAAATTCTGAAACCTTACTGCACATCTACATGACACCACCAACCATCTCCCAAAAGATGATTAGGCTGCTGAGTAAAATGTAGAAGGAGTTCAGGTAAGATGGGGCTTTTAGCATAAAAAACGTCATTTTTCGACCCCCATTTGATCCCTTGGGGCAAAATCAAAATTCCGAAACCTTACTGCACATCTACATGACACCCCCAACCATCTCCCAAAAGATGATTAAGCTACTGTGAAAAATGTAGGAGGAGTTCAGGGAAGAAAAGTGTGACAGACGGACGGACGGACGGACATGAGTAACAACAATATACCCGAACTTTCTTTAGAAAGTGCGGGTATAATAAAAAAAATATAAGATATCCCTCATTGTAACAATTTTGATTCAGAATTCAGAGTACATCCCTCTACATGAGAAGGATGACAAGGAGATTCCTTATCTACCACTGGTTGGCAATATAACAACCATCACTTCCTTCCTGTTCCTGTGCTTACTGGGGCCCGCCACAGGGTTACTGTATGATATATGGGTAAGTCCCACAGTTTGTACCAATTATCAGTCCTGTTTAAATAATCTCTAATTCTAGTTCATGCAGCATGTTAATGGTCATAGTTTATTCCCAGAACTGTTTTTTTTTTGGCAAGAATTTTACTTCATTTTTTTCTACAAGTGAATTAATATCTAGTATTGTTGCTGATTGCTTTATTTTTTTCTACAATTAGAACTTAACCTGTAGTTTTGTCCCTTTATTCAGTAACTTAAAAAGTAATGATGTTATGGATATGCACTATTCTATCAATTGCTTGTAATGGATAAAAGTACAGTAAATCATATCTTGTTCCAGATATTCTGATATTCTGTGAATGAATTTTTAATTGTATTCAATTTTTTTTTATATATCAAAAGCAATATTATTATGTGCTGTGGGGCATCTTATGGAAATCTACTATGTTGCTACCAGAGCCAGTGGTTGTGTTTCTGTTGCCGCTAAATGCTGCTATGTTGCTGTATGGCAGCATCTGAACTTGCTGGAGGTTAGCGTCTGTAGGCATTAGCTCTTCAGTGTGGATAATGTCAAACCACTTTAAGTTAATACCATACACGGAGAAAAGATAATCTTGCATCTAAATATAGAAACCGTGACTTCCTAATTTTAGTGCTTTATTAGTTTATGTATCTGATACAAATATTTTGTTTTATACATAAATATACATGTAATGACAACAAGTCAATAAAAAACAAGTTTGTGTTTGATGTATTAATCAAACAATTGAATGTTGATATATCAAACTTTAGAAACATGACTTTATGAGGCACTAATTTTGAATTCTACTGACTGAATATTCTATTCGTATGTGAATTTTGATTTCTCGAACATACGACAACAAAGTAGTTTCTCTAATCTTTAAAACAGTGTCAAAATGATTATGGCTTCAAATGTCAAAATTACTGTCAATTTATTACATTTAGCAGTGTATTCTCTTTTACGATATTAGTGTAGAGCAAAGTCCGCTACATGTAAATCATGTACCTTGCTATAATAATTATTATGTGTTGTACATATCATACAGTCATTAAATCTAGAGAATTCAGATAGCGCTAAGTTGAATCTATTTGTTGAAAAAATTGTATCCCCCAATTTTCTATACTAAATATATACACTAAATATAATACAGTAGTTGTTAAAAGTCACACTGTGAAATAAAATTGTTAAAACTCATACTGTGAAATAAATAAAGCTTCATAAAATTATAAGAAAATGACATCAAATATTTAATATGTTGGTAAAAAAAAGCCGAAAATACTCATATTTTCCTGCACAGTAGAATATATACCCCGGCGTCAAGGCATCAGACACAGTATTGGGGCTGCTTTTGTACCGTTAAAATATCCATTTCTGACATTGTTGCATACTGTAGATTCCTTATTTTCGCGAATGGGCTGTTAGCGCCAAATCGCAAAATAATAATTCGCGAATGGACAGTTGGTCTATAGAGTTTATACAGCCACACCTCCAGAAATTGATGAATTAAATCTTACATGAATAAACATATGCGTTTTAATTCATCTAAATCTAGTCTGTATCTTTTTTATATACGCAAGTAAGGTAATCCATTACTATAAACATATTCAATAAAATTGAATCCATATGAGGGTATAGACGACTTTCACATTTACAAAAGTAATTACCTTTTGCGGGGCTAATCCGGGGTGAACCGGCGTAAGACGCTGTTTTCCCTCTATAACCTTACCAACTTTATGGGTCAGTATACTAGAAATAAAATCTTTGTGAATAAGCTCATTATGCTATTCATGTTGCCCCATACTCTGGCAATACATAAAAAGATCGAAAATGTCCTATAACGTTTGAAATTTAAAAATATTAACAGGTAACTTACAAAGGACAAAGTGGGGAATATGAGCATTACGCCGACAAAGGGAGATAACTCTTAGGAATGTGAAATTCGTCCATATGTAACGACAAGTTTAAAATTCCCATGGACCCATAATAAGAGAAAAAATTAAATCAATTTAAGTACATGTATATAATTTGATATTTACAACATGTTACAAAAGTTTGTTAGAATTTTGATAAGAATTCGGAGATCATAAAAAATTCTGATAATGACGATATTTAAAGGTCAATGATACTCTGATAAGAGAGATAACTCTTAATGACATAAATGTCTATTATTCCTGTATAGATTTGCCAAGTTGAAGTGTCTTTTCTGTCCAATTTTGCCCAGCAAGCTATGCTATACTTGTCGGTATTTTACTTATAAAATACATTTCTTTTGGGAAATAATTAAGGTTCAAGCAACATTTTATATGAGTGAGCAGAGGGTTTATGAACCTTAACGGATTTTTACGTCAAGGCGGAGCATCAATCAGTCATAAATATTTTTGTAGCTCTATGTTAATTAAACTCTTTTCCATTTCTCAGAAACGCTGACTTCAAAGACACCGACATGATTCGAGGTCCACGGAAAAGCGTGAACCTTCGGTCCACGGTACCCCATGTTTTGCGGCGAAAACTCGTGGCTTGTACTGTACGTACACTATAAATATGATAAATTGCAGTTTGAGACACATTCAATATTATTCATCTTTTTTATGTTGATTTCTAAATTCGGTATAATATTGAATAGAATAGAGAATTTTTTTTATTCCCCAGTAAACGTATTTCCAAATTTATAGAAAATTTGTAGTATTCACTTGAACGGAGAATACTTGTATTTACAAATGTTAAATCCTGTCACTGAGATTTACCAGCCAAAACTGATAATGGCCCCAAACTCACTAAATAAATTTGAAAAATCCACAAAAAATATTTTTTTTAAAACCAGGCAAATTATACATGTACCGGGATATACATAATGGATTTTAGGTCGTTTATTTAGTGATCGCAAACAAAACTGCAGATGCAAAACAAACCTTTCAATATAAGTATTTTTCAAACTGGTTAGTATAAACATGTACCGGTATCACATGCATGTAAAAATGAAAACGTACATATCTATCAACTTTACAAGACAAATCCATGCATAAATCAAACTATTTCCACTACATTAATTAAAAAAGAGGGAAAAAAACTATTGACACAGGGACAACATTACACAATCCTATGATTGATACAATGGCCTTGTCAGAAAAAAACAAATCTAGTAAAAAAATCAAATATTCTATGACGATTTTAAAAATCTAACATGTTAGGCCATTATTTACACACTGAATTGTTTACTATTTTTGGTTTGGTGACGAGGAACACTATCAACACACGGCAAGTATGATCTTCCAAGGCACCTGATCCCGCTTCTGGTGTTCTTGTTTGTTCTGCTCCTGATTTGAATTGTTTTGATATTGTTTGAGTTTGATTACTGTGCATTATCCTCTTATTATCATTACAACACATACACTATGTAAATGATAAAATGTCGGCAAACTTTGAAATAAGAAAACACGGATACAAGAAGCAAATTTTGTTTAAATGAACATAAATATTTTCTCCAGTCCCTCACTAGCACTTATTAAAATGCACATGTATATTAAGACGTCCGGGATAAGGATCCCCCACTCCTCAATGGCCCTGGGTGTCAAGTTAAGATCAAAATTTGAAGCACTTTACTGGTACACATGTATATGTTGACGTCTCTACATGAGCGAGAAATTCTAGAAGGGACGTAAAACAACATAAAAGCAATCAATCAAGCATTCTTTTAACATGTTCAATGTAGGGAAAGAAAGCAGTTTTTAAAAATATACTGCGCCGCATGGCACTTTGGAATCAAAGAGATCTAAATTAACATCACGAAAAACTTCTATGCTTAAAAATTTTCACAATCCCTTCAGCAGTTCCCACCCACAATGTAGATTTGTACAGTGATATTGCCATTGGACGTGTTACTTCTTGCTCTGTCAGTAAGTATTTCAAGAACTCCCCTTCAGGACTCAACAGATGGATAAGACTGTTATATGCATCAGAAACAAGAATGTTACAGATCGAGTCACAAACCAGGTCTGCTGGAAAGAAGTCCTCCTTCAGGTTCTGTCCACGATAGACAGATCTTAGGAGACTAGAGACCGTGATTATTACAATCTCACCTGTATTGTCACTTGTAATATTCATTACACAAATATCAGTATTATTGTTTTGACAGAGTCTTCCTGGATATGTAAACAGTCTGGTTTGGCCGTCCTCTTGGTACTCATACTCGTGAATGATATCACCGGTCATTGTCAAGTATTTCACCAAACGTCGACTGCCTGATTCTAATTCAAAATCATCCGTTTCAAAATCTTTCAAAGAAACAAGGAACCCATCGTCCACTGAGCTACTGATTCCGGTAGGTTCAAGATCTACCGCATCTGCACTGAAAAACGTTGAAATTGACCCTGATGGCGAAAGACACCTGATTAATTTGTCACCGATTTTGGTGAAATAAATACCTTTATTGGTTACACACATGTCTTTCACATTCCGTCCAATATTGAATGTTTGTTTCTTTTCACCTTGTTTGTTGACCAAATCAACGTTATCAGATTCCATATCGTAAACGTAACATTCGTTTTCATTTAATGTCTCTACATATAAAATTACATCTTCACTACATGTCACATACTGAAATAAATTTGTTTCAATAGCACTTATATTATCTAAATCCAACAGTCCACAAAACAGTGATTCTAGGATATCATCATTAATGACCTTTTCTTTATATCTCAATGAAAAATTGCTTTCCCCAATGTCAATTTCTAAATCAGTTAGCAGATGATTCAGGTCTCTTTGGTTCTCTATTAAGTTCTTATCAGACATGGTTCTGTGGTTGTCCTCCATGTGTTTCATTATTTCAATTATTTGTTTCTTTTTCTTGTCTATTCGAGATTTCCCATTTGTAAACTGTTCGTTTTTCTCACTCAGATTGCTTTTCAATGCTACATCTTTTCGGTCCCTGATATCTGTAAGCTTTTTTATAATTTCATCAAAATGCTTCTTTAAATTCTTCCTCTGGGATTCATATGTTCTATCATTTTCAGCCTTCATTTTGGTTATTTTCTTATCTATTTGCGGTAATTTCCCTTTCTTTATATTCCTCAGAAACTCCGTCAGTCCCTTTCTCCTTCGACTGGCCGCCACACCCAGTGTGACCCAGTCATGCCCATTGTGGTCCGTTTTGACACACGTAGAACAAATGAATTCATCACAGTCCTCACACACCAAATCGATCGGTAAATTATGATTTTCACACATTTGTATATGTTCCTGAGGA